ATCTGGAATACACTCCACATCCTGAGCTCTCTTTGGTTTTGGAGCTGTCTGTATATATGCGTATTGCATTTAACTGAGTGGAAAGTAATACACTGAGTCAGTTGGGTGGTCAGAGAAGGTCTATTCGTCGCTAAAAAATACATAACAGTCAATTCAGTATAATGGGGGGTAGAACAGAAAGACATCCCACACAATCTCAGTGCCAAAAAGTATACTTCCTACTAGGTTACTTCACAAGAGGTGACCTTAGTGTAGATCTCTCTCCTCAGCAAGTGTCCGCTTAAATTCCCGACCGATCTGGTCATCGCAACCTTCAGTTAAGAAAAAGGTTGCCGCAACGAATATGCTCGCTGTTCGGATCTTACTCTACTCCTTTGGAGTAGTGAACTGAACTCGGGAGGATCTGTATCAACTCGATCCAAAAAATGGTACATCTTCACAAGAGTTTGCATCTCAAATCCTCCGTCCCGCAGTTATTCTTCCCAAGACTGCAGGGAGACCATTAATTTTTGGGTTAGGAGGGTCTACATGATTGAATGGAACTGGATGGAGCTTGTTAAGTATTCAGTAGCGCGTATTTCGTTTCAAGGCAGCTGCCCAAACGGCTCTGTCAACGAGTTGGAACTCGTTCAAGAAAGGTACATATAAAAGAGGTAACACAAAGTTCATGGGGCCTTCTTTAACAACATTGAAGACTTCGGCTTATCGACGCACCCGTCCTCCCTTCTCCTCAAGTCGAGTGAGCTGAATTTGGAAAATGGGGGTTTATCATGGCCTGCCAGGATGGTGTTTTCAACACCTCAGTCTTCAGTAGTCCCGAGATGTGTATGAGGTTCCTGATACTTGGTGCTGGACCTGCCATGAGGCAACCAAGACACTCATTTGACTGACATTTGATGTGGGCATGTCCAGGATTTGCGGTTTAAACCAATATCCATGGACATAATGCAGCCCTGAGAGAAGATCAAAGATGCCGAGTCAGTAAGCACCAGGTGTCAGCGGAATGGGATCAAAAATGTTCTCAAATAATGCACAAACCTGAACTACAATAGAAAATGAAGAAACAAAATGACTCATCTAATTGGGGATCTCCAGCAAGAGAGAAGTAAAAATAGAGAAGCAGAGGCAGATAAAATTGAAGAAAGCTGGGGAGGTAGTCCGGCCACTTGTAAAAAGTGCAGGAATATAAAATTCTGTGGAAGGTGTGCGAAGCTAAGAATCTTATGATCTAGAGTTCGTCGATACCTTTTTAAAACTCTCGAGACAACGGTAATCTAACACATTGCGTGGCAGAATAGACAGGTTGAAGATGCCAATAAACTCATTTGCATATAAATTTAATCCAGCTGCTGGCTTTTTGATTTAAAAATATTTGACAGCATAATCGACATAATGGTCTGCAATTTTTATATCAAGATCTCTCTTGATCGCTGCTTGTCTCAATTATGTTGGCAATCAAAAACAGCTGAAAAGTGAAAATAAATGAATTATGATTGATAGCCCCGTCCACCACGATCGGGAGGGCGAGAGGAGAGATAGGATTCGCTCAAAAAATGCTCAAGTACTACAGGGGATTAATGTTGCTGTGAAATGTCTTCAGAATAATAAAATTGACCTTCGAGTCGCTGAAATTGGTGAGGTGAGCACAGTTTGGCTCCATTTTGAAATATTTGCTCTCTCTTTTCACCAAATTCACGCGAAAAGACAACATTCAAATTCATATTATAGGAAATACAGTCCACTTACATTGATACTCTAAGGTAATTTTGGCCGGATACTCGTGATTTGTGGTAATCAAAATAATATATTGAAATCAAATCCAAAATAGAGGTAAATAAGGAACAATATTATAATCAATTTCAAAGCAAGTCTCTATGTCCCCAATCTTTAATTGAAACCTACTTTTTCTTTTTGCACAATCGCAATCCGAAGAATAACCGTTAATGTTTTTTTTTATATCCGAAAGATGTTACATTTGAAATAAAAATCGTACGGGCCCCATTGTACTCGCCGGAAATAATTTACTTTAGTATGATTAACATTCGAAAATAAAATCGGAATTAGCATTCTTAAATTGAGTGAGTGAGTTTCGCTTTGAAAAAAAAGTTATTTCATGCATTAAAAACCGTTCACGGGATCGACCGGTGCGACTTGGAGGAGATAAGTTTTTGATATCTCTCTCGAGGCGAATTTCGATATGTTCGATGCGGTGGAAACATCAATTAATGTCAGGCTGAAAAAATGTAATAACGGCATTTGTAATTTACTAAAAGTTCGAGAGATTTTTGATATTTTCTTTTCTGTTATCTCTATATCTATTTTCTTAAACATCAATCATACGATGTGGTCTTAGACAAATAACTCTTCTTAACACTTCTAAATGTAATGAGCTAAACACTTGAAATAATTTCGTTTACATCTTTCATTGGAAAAATTAAGCTATTAACTCAGCCGTAACAATTGTCAAGATGACACAGAAGTATTTAGTAGCTAGTAGCTAATCCGTGTTAGGAATCACACGTTGAAAGGTAAGACCTCGTTAATCCTTAGCTCGCACAAGTTTTGACTTCTGAGGGTTGTCGTTCGTAGGGGTGCCACTGCTGGTTAACGGAAAAGTAGATTTTGAATAGATTTAATCTAGTCTAGTAGCTAATCTAGCTTCAAATATAGAATTCATTCTTTGGGTAATCTCATCTAAACTGACATCAAATCAATCGATGTTTATGAAATCACTTATTACATAGACGTCAGTATCATTTATATATAGAATAAAAAGGTGCCCCCAAGACACTACCCTGCGGTACACCAATATCTCTAGAAAACATATCAATGACACAATACTGAAGATTGGGAAGGAAAAGGAAGAGATAGACCAAATAGAACATGGTAGACTAAAGTGGATATGATCATGGAATGAAGAGGCATTATGAATGAATTGTTTTTTTTTCTCATAATGTTATTCAAATTGGTACTGAAGAGCTCTAAGGCAAGTGTCTTACGACGAAACATAGGTGTCTACAAGTGAGGATGACAGTGTTCCATGTAAGTGAAATTTTTACCTTTCATTCAGTATATTGTGTAGAAATCCTGTGAATGATATCTGAGTCAATTCCATAAAGAATGTTTGGAATACAAACTGAGTAGAAAAAAGTGTTTTTGTATAATTCAGTGTTCATATCTGTTTAAAAAAATCTGTTTTTATTGTGATTTTAATTTTTTTGATTTGTGATGTTTTTGATTGTGTGTACATTAAGAGTGCCATGGGCTGTCAGAAGAAAGCCAAGAGTAAAACTGCAGAACATCCTTTTTATGAAAATGCACAGGTACCAACTGCAGAAAAATACTTAAGACGATGTAGTGTAGTCATTTGAAAAAACGATTTTAGAAGTTCATTCCAAAAAGATGCCGTTTTTCAATTAAAGAATTTTCAAAAGTGTATTGAGTTAAACCTCTTAATCATCGGAAATGCACCAGCGCCATCTCTGATGAGCAGTCCCACTAAGACATGACAACCGGAATTCCAATCTAAACAACCCCCAATCATCAAAATCGTTCCTCTAGCCCCGACAAAACAACCACCCCCATGTAAATAGGTTTAGGATCTGTTATTCTTTATTCGAGACCTGTCCGCTGATCGTGACCCAAGAAACAAGGGTGGTCCTGCTCGCTTTTTACATAAACACACCCTGAATTTGTATGCGCACTCCATTATAACACCAGTGGCGTCAAACGACTGCTTTTATTTGCTTTTACCAACGAGTGACGGCCCGATATAGGTGGGAGTGTGCTGGTCTGGCTTATTATCGAATGCTAAGTAGGGCGATGGGAGATTGGGGCAGGTTATTGTTTGGTGGTGGATTGTGAACTAATATTTTCATGGAGAATCGATGCGGTGGTTTATTATTCAATTGTTTTTACATCTTCACTATCCGGTCATTTCTTATAATGTTAATTGACCACCACGAAAAGCTGAATGGCTGAATGGAATTTGGTGAAGACACCAAGAATGCAACCTAGCGTCTAGAGACAGCTTTCAATTTGAACGAGCCGGTAAGCACATCAGCATACCTAATAGGGCAGTTGCATGTTTTTTTTTCATTCTTTCAAATGAGGGGACATCTATAAATTACGTCACACGTTAATGGGCGGGAAGGGGGGAGGTAATGTGACATAGTGTGACAAGGGGGGGTCAAAAGCTTTGTGGCGTCTCATGATAAAATTTAAAATACCAGAACATGAAATTTATATGTGAATAAAAAAATTTAAAAAATTCTAACTTGATCTATATTCATACATGTTCCTGACATTCAAATTCAGAACGAAAATGAAGTGCCAGATTTACCAGTAATAGCTAATATGAAGGAGTGGGCCCAAATCTCGTGGACATAAGATGATTAAGTTTTTTTTATCTCTAATTAACATAATTAGTCGCTTATTTTTTCCTAACTAATCGTTTCTTCTTTCTGTTATCAGAAATATTTGATTTATGTTGATTTCATTGAAGATCGTTTAATAATAATAAGAAAAAAAAATAATTGTTTTCTTTTGATTATTTTTAAATACATGCATAAGTTTGAAAAATGTGGGACATCAGGGAGGGGGCGGTTTAAAAATGTGACAACCTGTGACAAGGACGGGGGGGTTTAAAAGTTTAAAGTCCATGACTTTGATTGGCTTCACCAAAGTCAGCGGTTATCTTATAAATATTCAGAGAAAGCCGACTACAACCATAATTATCAGTAATAATAGAGAAATTACTTCAAACTTCCACGTTCTGATCAACAAGAACAATACAAATCGTTCCGATCCATTTATTCAAAAGATACCGCCAGGGGTACGTTTCGGCAGCTTTATGAAGAAATTATATCATTTTCGTAGCTTCAATGGGGGTCATGTACTTAGTGGAATCAGAATGTTTCTAAACCGAAACATATTCGGGTTTGCTATTGTTACAGTCGAGTCAGTTTTAAATAGGAAAGAGCGCTATCTTTCGATCCAATATGTCGTCTGCTCATGAAGGACAACCCTCAGAAGTCAAAAATTATGCGAGGTGAGTATTTACGCCGTATTACCAGTTTAATTGCAATAGTGCGGATTGGGAATGTACGCAGTGAAACTCGATATTCCAGCCGTCGGGCTCGAATCTCCGTTCCACACAGCGGTCCATTAAATGAGTAGGACGAACTGCTCACACTAATCAATCGGTTAAGATTTTCTGCTGAATTATGAACAAAAACGAAAAAAAAAATACCTATTTTGGTATAAAGTTTGCTTTTGTAATAGTTGTATTAAGAATACTCATTTTTGAATTTTTTATAAATTTTAATCATTTTTAATTATTTAAACATACCACGCGATCAGAGTGGGTTCAGGCGGGGGGGCCTTCAACCGCTCTCAAGGGGGCCCTAAACGGTGAATCATTTCGATCAAAAGCTTGAGTCAATCGATTGACTCAAGATTGACCAAGTGGGAACCAATTTGACGTTTGAAGCCAGGCTTGATGGTGATTGATAGGAAGCTTAAATGACTCAAGCGGTTGAAGAAAGGGGTTGACCATCTAGGTCAATTTTTGTCAAGCATTGCGTCAATCACTAGGTAGAAACCATGGCGTCCGCTACGGAACGTGAGCTTCCAGAAAACTCTGAACGGGAACTCATTAACCTGTTGATTGAATTATATCGCGATTGTCCGGATTTATGGAAAGTGAAGAGCAAGGACTATCACAACAGAAACAAGAAAATTGCATCATTACCATGTACCACTCCTTCGAGAAGAAGGTTTTGATCAAAAGATTGAAGAGCTGATTGCAGTTGATCGAAGCGCGCGTCAGTCGATTAACTCGATCGTTTGATTAAGCAGATTGGTCGTTAAGGGCCACCTTTAGGATGAGATTCTCATCCAGCGCGTTCAGTGCTGTAGTATCAAAGGATTCGACGGCCCCACATACATCGGATTAGTTGTAATAAACGGTCGGAAATTGATATTGTGTTTAGTTTATTCGCTGTTGTTATTATTGTTTTTAGTTTTTGTAGTTGGTTATAAGTAAGTAATTTACCACGAAATATTCTATAATAACCTCAAATTTCGTTTATATATGAGCGTACGCCTATGATGAAAGAACGAAATTGGCTCCGCACTTCATTTTGACGTCACCCAGAAATTCGTGAATTTATGAATGAAAGTAGTGGGAGTGGACTTACTGGTTGATTTTTACTGTCCTTGGTCATGAATAACACAGGTCTGCAATAAAAACTTTTAAAAAATTATTTTGATTTCGTTAACTGATCCTAATGTAGTTTTTTGCGCTGATTTCAAAAATGACATTTGTTTTTATCTATCACGTAAGGTTTCCCTACAAAATAAGGATGAAATATTTGAAATAGTACAAAAAAAACGAGGAATTGTGGATTTATTTTCATTACTTTAACATGGAGTAAAAGCAAAAAAAAAACAATGCTACATAGCTAAACTAAGCATAATACACAAGTGTTTTCAAAATGATTATAAGTCTTTGTAAAAATGTTTTCTTTTTCTGTCAAAGCTTCTTTTGGTACTTTTTCGGCTGTGTTCTTGTGGATTTTTCCTTTTTAACATCCAACAGTAGTCTGCCATCATGTTAACATTCCACCGATCTTGGTATGTGCGTTCCATTTCTTTTATGTCTTGATGGAACCGTTCTCCTTGTTCCTCAATTACAGCCCCTAGATTTTCGGGAAAGTAGTCCAGATGTGAGTGAAGGAAAATGTTGCCCAACATTTTGTAGTTTTGTATCAATTCAGCAACCAAAGTTTTGTAGTTTGGGTCTTTTTTCTTTCCAAGAAAGCCTGTTAAGTTTAAATGAATTACAGGCATGCTTTTCTTTCATTTCCATATTAGTGACAAACTTTCATCTTTTGAAAGTTTTCTCATGACAGGCTCAACGAATACTCCTTATTTCAGTTTAGCATCGGATAGACCAAGAAACTTTTCAGAAAGATACTTGAAACAATCTCCTTCTTTGTCTAATGCTTTCACAAACTGTTTCATTAGCCCCAATTTGATATGGAGTGGTGGAAGTAAGATATTTTTAGGATCCACTTAACTTTGTTTTTCAACATTTTTAACTCCAGGAATAAGGCCCTTTCTTATTGGCCACACCTGCTTGACATAGTGTTGTTTCCTGTCACGGCTATCTCATTGACATAGGAAACATGGAAACTTAGTATAACTACTTTGTTGACATAGTAACATTGGAATAACTTTCAAGTCTCCACAAATGGTCCACTTATGATCAGAATAGCTGAGCTTATTAAGAACAAATTCAAAATTTTCGTAGCATTCTTTCAAATGTACTGAGTGTCCAACAGGCACAGAACCATATTGGTTCCCATTGTGAAGAAGTACAGTTTTCAAACTTTTTTTTGATGAATCGATGAAAAGTCTCCATTTCTCTGGTTCATACGTTATGTCGAACATTTCCATTTCTCTAAATCGGTACCATGAATATGAAACACCGGAGGCTAACATATGTCTTTCTTTAAGTCTAGCCCTTAAAACTTCTGCTGAGTCCTTTGGGAGGCCCAGATCTCGTACTAAATCGTCCAAGTCTGATTGAGAGAAAAGTTCAGGGTCATTGGTACCTGGATCGTAGCTGTCATCACGGTCGCTACTGCTACTATGTGTTTTTGCGTTTAAATCGTCTAAAATGTGGTCCAAAGTATCCAGAAGTGAAAGAACAGGCAAGTTAGGTCCATGAGGAACAGGGCGAACAGCTGAACGTATGTTGGTGGGGTACGAAATATCCTTTCTGTTCACATGCCTTGTTCCAGTAACATTGTGTAGTCTTGTTCATCATAAAAGCTTCATAATTCAGATTCAATTTACCGCTTATATAGGCTATATAATACAGAAACAGCAAACCCATACCGAACCTAAAAACCCATTTAATTAGAAAATTTCGGGTGAAATTTGTGATTTATCTATAGGTGACAGAATTTTTTCACTATTTTTTCCGTAATCTGCACACAAAATATTGTCAAAATCACTGGTTGAATATCCTACAATTTTTTCATCGCAGACCTATGTAATCCCCAAAAATCCCCTCGTTTTATCCCAAAAACTATTTCAAACGATCATAAACGCTGAAATTTCCCTCTCTATAATGACGCCTTGCCATATTTTTCAATCCCAACAAATAAAAAATAAACTTCGACCCAATAACGTCAAATCAATGCACTTTACGACGACATCTACACAACAAAGTCGATTCAAAACGAGATAAGGGAGCCATATTTCTATCATCTTCATAAACAAAGATCCCTCTTTGGAGACGTGCCGTGTTTTTATTTTTAGTGTCACGTGTTCGGTCGCTTGAGGTAGGTCGGAAGTGACGTCATTTCGTAACCCACACGAAAGCTGTCGATCTATCTACATACCGAATGAGTCACAAAAATAGGTTCGATGTATTCGAATTGTATTTTCCGTCTGTGTGATTCCTGGAAGGTGTGTTCCTTGATGTGTTACCGCCGCGTTTGATTGTACAGGGCGAGACAATGAAATGGAATAAATTCTGTGAAGTCTTTTTGCGGATAAATCCTAAGACGGATCTCATATGTCAGATATTTGGCGACGACAGTTATTTCAAATGTTCTGAAGAAACCGTCACCAATATCCTTACTTTCAAATGAAAGAAGATTCATAGTACAACTACGGAATTTTCAAATGCCTCAAATTATTTTCTGCCAAATAAACATTATCCAATTCGAAATTTTGAATTATGCAGCTTTTGAGTTTATGATTCAACGAAATTAATACATCATTAATGGGATTGTTTCATGCTTTGGAAAATGATACTGGTTTGCTTATAGACTGATCGAGTTAGGGGTTATATTATATTTATCGAGCCTAATCGGTCGCACTACCTCTTTATAATTGCAGAAAAAAAGGAAAATTCTAGAAGCAAGACTTTAAATGGGGAAGCAAACTGTCAATTTGTTTTACATAGAGGGCGCTATGTGTTTGTCATCAAAAGATACATTGGTTATATGGGAACATTTGTGATTTTTCGTTTTTATTCAGAGAAATGGGTCGTTGTGCTTCTTTCGATTGCAAAGAAATGGGGGTTTATAAGTTTCCTGAAGCTACTGTTATGAGAAGAAAATGGGAAAAATCTTTGAGGATAGTTAAGTTCAAATTCGAATTCTATCAGTCCACGGATGTTGAGGTTAGAAAGAGAAAGAAAAATCAAACGTGATTTGAAGCCAGCTAGTAGTGAATCATCTGAAATTTTCGAATATAAAGATAACCAGCTTCCTCTCAATGGTAAGTATCCAATAAATAAATTTATTATATTGACTGCTCAACCACCACTATATTCCATTAAATTATATAGATTATTTAGACTTCCAACAAGAAATTGCCTCAGAAGTTACTTTCCACCCCGAGGAAGATAATCCTGATAAGGAAAGCCACCTAATCAGCCAGTCCACACAAACACCAACTTTATTCAGATTATTTTCCAATGATGAATTTTTAATGAACAAAAAATCTGTTCTTTTTTACACGGGTCTCTCTTGAGGAATATTCTCGAAATTAAAATGTCTATCATAAGCCTCTAATCTGAAAACAAAATTGAACCTTGAAACTTGCATGTTTTTGAGGTTAGAATAATATTCATTGATTATTAGTGATAAAAACACAAAATATGTGTTTTCTTTCTCATTAATATATTTCTTGGAAGCAAATTGGATGCAAAAAACTGTCTTTATAATGAGAGAGTTGTTCAAATATGCAAAATAATGAACCTTTCCACTAGATCAGCTTTCATCCCTCCTAGGGATGCAAGCAAGCAAATTGCAAGCAATTTAAATAAGAAACTTCCAAATAAATCAATAAATATAACGGTGGAAACTTTGACAGCTAATTTCCAATGTCATCCAGCGCACTCTGCTGGATGAGTTTCCCGTAATCATCCCCATTGGCCGAGTGTCTGTTGACCAATAAAATTGATCGTATCTACAGCGGTGTTGCCAAGTGCCAATTTTTTAAAATTTATTTCAAAAAATAACCGCATCAACCGCGAAGGGTTTCTAGCGAAGGAACAATTAGGTATAATTATATTTTATGTAATATATTAATAGATTTCAAAAATGTTACTAAAGAGTTCAAGTTCACCATGTCTAGGGCAGAATTGAGATCACTGGGAATCTTGCTTCTTGTCTTTCATATTCAAAAACTGGCCACTCCAGGATAATGTGTTTCACACTGTTGATCACACCACAAATATCACACTCAGCAACATAATTTTTCTTCATAAGGTGTTGGTGTGTTAGTCTTGTGTGTCCGATTCTGAGGCGAGTAAGAATGACTTGATGTCTTCGTTGGACTGATTGGCAGTTCTGGAAGCGCATGTAGGGATTTATCTCACGTAATTTATTCGATTCCATGGCCATCCATCGTTCTTTCCAAGTGTTTACTATTAGTTTCTTTATGAAATTAAAGTAATCTGAGTGGGAAATTTGTTCAAACAGTGTTGCGGAAGGAGTAACTGTAACATTGCAAGCGACTGCATCGGCTTTCTCATTGCCTCTGATTCCAGTATGGTATCCAGATTAGTTTAATACATTTCTGATTCTGCATTAGCTTGGATATCCTTTCCTTTATACGGACAAGTAGTGAATTCCTTGGGTATAACTGTCTGATTCCATTAATTGCGCTGAGAGAATCGTTGATGGTAACAGAATTGCATTCCACTCTTTCACAGTGTGCTACAGCTTGATCTATGGCGTATAATTCACCTGTATAAACACTACAGATTGACGGTAGACGGTAGGCAAGCTCCGTATCTCTTGTAATGACGGCTGCACCCACACAATCAGAAGATTTCGAAGCATCTGTGTATAAGTGATTGTATTCCTTGTAGTTGGAGATTATTTCAGAGAAAGTTCTTTGGATAAAACTTGGTGATATCATTTTTCCTGTGGGTGTAGAGTTGGGTGTTACAGGATGGGATCTTTATGGTCCATGGTGGTGAAGTGCAGAAACCAAGTGACATGACATTATTAACGACTACAGGATTATTAGTAATTTTTGACATATTTGCGTAGAGTGGTAAAGCACCTTTATTACTTTGATTGAAAAGAAGGGGACATTTGTTATTGAAGGTATAGTGATAGGCGGAGTTGTTTATTTTATCAGAAATTCTTGCAGCATACGTGATGGTCATGTATTCGCGGCGAAGATCGAGAGGTTGTTCTCCTGCTTCGATAAGTAAACTTTCCAATGGACTACTACGGTATGCTCCTAAGGCTATCCTAATGGCGGCATGTTGAATGACATCCAGCTGTTTAAGAGCTGACTCATTTGCAGTAGAGAAGGCAATACATCTATAGTCTATTTTAGATCTTATTGGCGCCCGATAGACGGTTAACAAAGTATTGCAGTCCGCTCCCCAGGTGTGATTTGACAAGACCTTCATTAGATTCAAACCATTTTCACAAGATTTCTTAACATTGCGAATATGGGCGTTCCAATTCAGTTTGTAGTCAAACGTCATCCCAAGAAATTTCGTTTCGTCAACGAATTCTAACTGCTGTCCATTAAGTGTAAAGTTTGGAAAATTAGTTGCTTGCTGTCTGGAAAATAGAAGGCATTTGGTCTTCGCTGGTGAAAATTGGAAACCTGTGTTGAGGGACCACAATTCCAGACATGATATCCCCTCCTGAAGAAGTGACTCGAATGTGTTTATATTTCTGCCACTGACAAATAGGACTAGGTCATCCGCGTATGGCAGCCCTTTGACTGGGGATTTGATATTCTTCAAGATGTCGTTGATGGCTATGAGGAAGAGGGTGCCGCTGAGTGATGATTCCTGAGGGGTTCCGTTTTTGAGGTACTTTTTCTCAGAGTCTATGCCATTAGCTCTCACAGAAAATGATCTATTGTTTAGAAAATTTCTATAAAATGCCAAGTACCAATTATTTTAACAAAAATACGACGTTATGAAACATTAGAAAGAGTACATTGTCTCATACATTCAAGAGAGATAGCTGACTGGGTGGCAATATGGTTAATGTATAACGTTGAATTTCTTATTTTGGGTGGGTGGCATGAATGCATAATTGATTTATTTTATTAGGGTTCATGAGCCTTCGAGAACCACTTAAAAATATAGCTCGTTCCATGGTTTTTGAGTACAATTTATTTCATATGGAGAATTTTTTCATGAATTGAAACGTTAACGAGTTCATATACACTTCCATCATTGAAATGTCTGTGATATCAACATGAAAATATCTACTACTGGAGATATTTCAAAAATAACGTTTTTATTGCGTTTCTTGTTGTTTGGAACCTATGCATTATTAATTCTCCTTTCCAATGCATTTCTTACACTTTTTTCTTTGATGACCAATTTTTCCCATTTTCCAAATTCACCGAATGCGTTCGCTACTGATGGCTGCCAAATTTGAAACGTATGCTTTTTAGAATGTGTACTTTTCAATAGAGTGATATTTTTCAAACAACTACCGCCATTTCCAGGCCAGATTGGGTACTTCTGGGTTCACCCTCGTAGGCTCCTAAAAAAAACTTTTCGTCAATTTTTCCAATTTTCCCGGGTTTCTAGATGGATGCAATTCACTGACTATTTTATTTTATTCACGATGCTTTGAATTAGGATAATATATTTCTCAAGTAATTCGTCCTGTTTAAAATACCCTTTTTTCACAGAACAGGTTGGATTTCCAGATGAAAGGACTGACAACAATTTCAGTAATAAATTAACTCAAATACAGAGTGGCCTCTTCAATTGGTCTAGAAAGCATTGAAATCAAAGGGAGCCCAGTCATTTAGGTATCCGTGTTCGGCGCCTAGATTTGGCAAGGTCGTAAGGATACTGTCCATATTGATGACCAGTGGCGTGCACCTACACTCGAACACGGGAAAATAAAGGTTTCACTTTGTTGTAATATAGGGATAGGGAAAGCCCTCTTGCAAAATTAATGTGCAACTGTGTTGTCGTTTTCAGAAGTAAACCATATACCTGAATAGTTATGTCTCCTCTCAAATCACCAAATTTGAAGCTGACTCTTCCGAACTTCCGTAAAAGAGATCAAGTGTAACTGTTAACATTTACGAAGAATAAAAATATATATTTTGAAAACTATGATACTTTGTACGCTCAGGATATAGTCAGTTATTGGAATAAAAACAGAGTTCAGAGTTTTTTATGTTATTTTTGGACGACTGCAAAATGACAAGAATGAATAAAGCTGAAGAAATCGTTATCTAGCCAACCAAAATTGTATTAGAAAATAAAATTCATCAGTTGATAAAATTTGAGAAATCAAACTTTGACTTCAAATCAACGTTTGAAGGAGGTATCTAATTTCTCAGACTGATATCTTGTTCAGAAACAACAATATAAACATTCTGAAACGATTATTTGGAATAATTGAAAAGTACAGCCGAAATCAATCTTTTTGTCAAGTTTTCAGGTGATAGATAATAAATATATTTATGTTATTTATGTCTTGTTCATATGGTTTTCCCTTTGTCTCACTTTTGTGTATGTTTTGCTATATATTTTACCTTATTTAAGCTAAATAGATTTTTAATATTCACTATGAAATTCACAATTTAACAAAGTTTCATGAACTACTCACTTATCAATGTGTACTAGGCAATTATTTTTATATTTCTAATTAATACATGCTATCACCTAGGTTGTTAAGCATCATTGATTTTTGTATCTACTTCTTCCTTATTAGTATTATTTTAAACTTTCTCTAAAGAGAAATCATCAACTGTTCTATCAATGGCTCCTAATTCATTGAGGATTATCTAAATTTTAAATAATGAAAATGGCATCATAATGCGTAGCGTATCAGTTGTATTCGCTGACATCTGGAAAATGTTTATGGTTGAAGGGTATTGAACCATTTTATCTTCCGTAGGTTTATTGTGAACATTCATTAGTTTTTCTCGGTGTAGTTTTCTCATCGTTTTCCGATTAATATCAACTTATATTCTGTGTGTCTCAAATTTTGAAGTGCTACGCCACTGGAATTTCATAATTCTGTCTTCATCCTTCGGAGCATTGTATTCGAGTTTAGAGAGTAGGCTGGGTGATGAATTGTATTTGCCTTCTGTATCAATGAAAATACAAGTCTGTGCAATTCTACAAAGTGCCGATATCCGTCATTCTCAGAAGTAAGATTGAAG